CATTATTAAAGAAAAAAATGGCGTAAGTTTCACGGGTTTTATCAGGTAAAAGCACATACAATATCTGCTCTGATGTGTTTCTTGGAGGGTGACAGTGATTGGTTGAATTAACAATTGTTCCATGCATTATTTTAATTGTAGCATTGCAGAAAACCTTCTTTCGGCACCTCCATAAATTTGATCCATTTTTATTAGTCCTCTTGAGTATGTATTCATAGTTTAACTCACTTGACATTACCATCGCCATAACATTGATGACATTGACGAGAAGTCATAATCATCACTTCACCAATCTGGATTGATTTGCTAAATAGTAACTGGGCCCTTTTTTGTTTAAAGTACGAGTATATGTAAAAGGCTAAGCTACTTTATATAAAAAGGTATGGTTCTCGTTTTTACAATTTCACAATTTAATACAATTACTTATTTCAATATACTTTTGAATAAAAACAATAGGGATGCGTAAGAGAGATAGCACTACGCATATGCACAACATTTTAGTGTGTGCATTTCCTACCGATAACATAAACACCATGTTATTTTTTTTGTTTTAAATTAAACTACCTACTTTGAATAAGTTTATTTAAATAAAGAACTTAGTTCGGTTAGTTATACATTCATTACTCTAGAGTGGCTGGATTGATTATCATGATGTTTGATTTATATTTGTCATCACCCCAAATACTAATATATTAACGAGCTTTTGTCGTTAAGTGTACTTTTTAATCAAACACTTCTTTCTTTATTTTTGGTCCCAACTTACCACTCAAAATAATCATTAAATATAGGTATCATTCGGGACCACTAGCTTCGGTCCCGAATGCCGCCTCAAAATAATTTATTAATTTCATGTCCCCCATCAGGACCAGTGGTCCCGGTCCCAAATGACTACCGACTAGTTGTAGGGAATAATGACCATATTGATTAGGGTTGCCACCCGTACTTTATTATAAAGTATTGTACGTTATTTCGGGTAATTGTACTCTATACTTTATGCCAACAATAAAGTACGCGAAAATACTTTATTTAATGTGATTTGATTACTTGGGAATTAATTTTACATATAATATAAATAAAGAGGATAGGAAGATTTTTTGCGTAAAACGGAACAACAGTATGTATAATATGTCGCCCTTAGCCCATTCCTGCAACATTGTCGCGGCTGTATGGCTTTGTACAATGGTCTTTCCCATTGCGGATAAGAACTACAGATTTTTAGTAGCCACAAATTATTTATTAAATATTGCTATAAGCACCGTAAAATATATTTTAAGCTTACTAATAAAGTGGATTAAAATGTACTTTATTTTGGACACAATGTACTTTTTTTTCTACCTTTCATATCCAATGTACTTTATTTGGACTTAAAAAAGGTGGCAACCCTAATATTGATCGTCCACAACACACTTGAAAAGTTTGCGGTCTTGTTGCAATAGGACGATAATAAATAAATTCTGGATAACACACGCTCTAACAGAACTTTGTTAAGTAAATAAATACATACAAGGTATCCGTACTTTTAATTAGGTACGTACAAAAAACAAAAAAAATACGATACAGGAGGTCTTGCACTAATATAGGTAGGTACCTACGTCGTCAAAAATTCTTAGAATTTGAAGTTTTGGATTCTATCTTGATAACTTACTGTTATGTTCATGATTTTGGAAACTAAGAGAGACTCAAACTTTAATAAGCTGTGATTCAACACCTTAGAATACAGGTAGGTAGGTACCTTACCTTAGTTATTATAATAAAAGGATATAGGTAGTAAGCAATAGTGGAATAATTCTGTAAATTGTAATAGAACATGATTATTGATTTTCCTACATAAAGCGAAACAATACCTTTCATCATCGGATTCCGTGATCTACATAAATATAATACCCGATAACCATTCCTTCCGTCGGCGTCGTCTCGTTGACTCATTTCGAATGCCAAAGTGACGTAGACACGAACATGACGTAAACAAATTATATTCAAGATTCTTGTAAATGTTTAATATATGTACAGTAATTTCAATTCGCTAGACATCGGCCCATTAGCTCAGTTGGTTAGAGCGTCGTGCTAATAACGCGAAGGTCGCGGGTTCGATCCCCTCATGGGCCAACAATTACTTTTTAACTTTTCTACATTTTAATAACATAGTAGAACATTTAGTTATCTATGTTATTACTATTTTAAAGTTCAGCGCTACAATGTTCTTGGGAGTTCTACATTATGTACTTTTATCCTTACTACTTGAGGAACACTATTTTTTTATAAAACTAAATATACCTAATCCGATTTTGAGTAAACAATTATTACGAACGAAGGCGGATGCAGGAAGTATTTTATGCGTTTTTATTTTTTCTCGATTTTTAGGGTTCCGTACCTCAAAAGGAAAAAAACGGAACCCTTATAGGATCACTTTGTTGTCCGTCCGTCCGTCCGTTTTTCTCAAGAACGCGTGGAGGTATCAAACTGAAATTCATATCTCATCACTCATGTCTACTGTCCCTTGGAGCTGGGAAAAAATCTAACTTCTAAGCCAAAGCAATCAAAAGATACAGCCGTTTATGCCGCAAATATCCGAAAATTTTCGAAACTCGCAAATAAATTTAAAATTTAGTACCTAAAACTTCGATCAAGTTCGAAGTAGTAAACTCGTATATAATATGTCGTGTAATTTAAATATGGAACAATCTTTTATTCCGAAACATGGCAACCGAGGAGGTAACTTATCAAAAGTTTTATTTAAATTTCGAACTGAATTGTAAATTAAAAATGTGTTGTTGAAATAATAAGTTCTGTCTTCTGCCTAGGTTTTACTTAGTTTTAATTTCCGCGCATTATTTGAGACAAGTAATATTCAAACCTTGAGCACAACTTGGCATTGATGGACTTAAGTGTTTACACGTTCGTCCATCAATGCCTCTTTTGGTGGCGGTGCGGTAATGTATTAATGTGTATTATAGTTCAAGATCCAAGGCTCGCCATAACTTATATATTTTTTGATGGACAAAACAATTATGGATAATCGAGTTGTATATTAGGCGATTCTCACACACTGCTGAAGTTTTTATGGGGTTTTTAAATCTGCATGATGCCATCATGCATATTATAAAGAAAGTAGAACCTGAAAGTTGTTATTTTTTAATTATTTCCAAACTGGGCTGGCTATGTCAACAAAACCCTTTTTTTCTAAGCCAAATAAATTATATAGCTAGCGACATCTAGTGCTGATCATAAGTACTATTTACTCAACATGTAAGCATTAACCTTGTCAAGTTGTGTCTCAGGCCAATGCCACCGTAATATTTATTTCATACCTCGTCACTAGATGGCCCTTTTAAAAGTTTATGCACAGTACTTTTATTTACTTTAAGTTTTCCTTATTAATATTACTTCCAATGTATCTTAAAGGGTACAAGTTACCCTTTCTGAATACAGCTTCCATCCCCAGTTTTAATCCATCAGAGCAATAATCGAGATATTAACACAGTCATGGTCCTTTCATCAAGATAGGATCAGTAGTTTCGTAGTTAGGTAGGTAGTTAGTCTAGCTAGGACAAACAAAGAGATTATAATTTGAAACAAACATTCGCGTCACGATGTTTATTTAGGCCTAGCAATTATTAAAAACAAATGACATTATTATTGAATTTGGAGGATACTGATGGTTTGTAACTAGTAGGTTTATTACCAGGGGATGAAGAAGGATAAAATCTTAATTAATTGCAGATAAAACTGTTTTTGACTGAAATGAGATTGCGAAAAAGTTCGTATCTGCGATCTCATAAATTTGTTATTTGGAAAAGAGATAAGCTCTTATTATGTCAGTCAAATTAACATTCGCTTGCTTTAACTTTGAAGGGGATCACAAAAGTTAGACTATAACTAGCCACTAGACTTTTTATTTTAATGCAGCTAAGACACCTAGGTAGGTAATAGGTAGGTACTTAAAGATAGGTAGGTACCTACCAAATTTCGTACTTCGTGTCCCAGTTATGACGAAGTTCCATTCAAACTTTCACCCCTTTCAACATGATGATAAACCAATAGGTACACCATTTTTAAGACAGATAAAGAAAGCCCCTTCCTTTGATTTAGTTGTGCACTCAATTTGACACCCAAAACAACGAAGAGTCGTTTTGGGGTTCTTTCTTGTTGTTTTTTTTAATAGGTACCTACCTACTAAGTAAGTTAATTTCTACTTGAAGTTTGCAACAGACTAGAATTAATAACACCTAGTCTAGTCACCAACGTAAACATCATATTTACCAATTAAAAAGTTAAGCCATTCTTAGATTGTGTCTCAATTCTATAAATTGTTGCTGTGCCTGTGTATTTATAGGTAGGTACCTACTAAGTTTTAAGTACCTACTTACATGATTTGTTTTAAAAAATAATATTCTCGTAATTCACATTACGTACTGGTATGGTACCGACATAATGGGGTAAAATCACATTATTGATTTATTTAAATAGGTACTTATCAGGTACCTATAGCTAAGGTTTACTATTTGATTTATGAAGCGCTGAAAAGGGTTTACTTTTTAAAGGATAAGGAGTTTGTTCAAAATTTTTTCGTTTAGGACAGTACTTACCTTTATGTATAATAAATTGTCAGGTATTCCATCAAGCAGTAAAGGCTAATGGCGTTAGTAAAATTTAAGTACCTACAAACCTACTCTGTTGTTAGGTACCTACTTCTATGAAATTAGAAAATTTATAGGTACCTAGGCCTACCTAGATAGGTAGGTTACAAAGATTTGTAAGTTACTCGATCAAATTAGAATGGTTGAATAAAAAGGACTTGTATAAAAATTGGCACACAAGAAGAGCATTCCCTGGATTCGTTTATACCTACTTAACTAAAATGAAAAAATCTTAGAATAAAATATTAGGTACCCCATAAAAGATTTTCCGTAAGTAGACAATATTTTGAAGTCCACGCAGATAGAGTTGCGAGCAAGATATCTAAATACCTTGTAACTTAAAATATAAAAAAATTAACTTACCCCTTTAATTTTATCCGAAATTGAAAACACTGATCTCGATCCACGAAAAATTTGATGCTAACTGCTATTTAGTACCGAGGTGATAGGTGTACCAAATTCATTCATTGAAGCATCAATGAACCCGCATAACGTATTTTTTTTCCTCTTACCACACTTCACTAGTGGTTATAAGTTATGAACGCTTTATTTATATAAATAGAGCACTACTACAACTATTGTATTATAAAAGATTGTTCAAACAGCACATATCTGAGGAACTGCATCGTGAAATATAAAACTCAGCAGTGGCTTTGCGGAACACGAGCGCCTGCTAAGAATGCCCGAGCAAAACTGTTGAATTAGCAAACGTTCCCCAGACTCGAGTAAGAGTAGAATCGTCAGGCGCACGTTCGGGTCTTACCAAAATAAGACACAATTATCTTCTATTTTTTCTCGCATTGTGTTCAGTGTATATGTTACAGTTAAAACCGATTTTAGATAGAACGCTTTTTCCTTAGTTAAAATTAGTATTTAATAAATGCCTTTGTGAAAACTAGAAATTACCAATGATATGTTTGATTTTCAGATAAAACTAGTTCTCACTCCGAGGTTTAATTAAAGCACTAGAGAAACTATTTTGGGATTAAAAAACAAGATATACTTTTAAAAATATTTATTTAAAAGATCTACGACACAAGAGTCATGTCGTCACTTATAGATAACATAATTACCGTAACCGCCAAAAGCCAATTTTGCAGGAGAGGCAAAAAGTTATTTGAAAATTAGAAAAAATATTGTAGTGGCACCAAAACATGAACGACCCCCAATAGATGAACGTTCGACCGAAATTTAAAGATATTAAAAAATCTGCCGGTTACTTTTGTGAAATATTTTTTATGTAATATGGCAACACTTTTTCTGCTTTTTCTGCTCCCCTCTTAACGTGCCTTTCGAAAAGCTTCCGAAGCTCGAGATAATACATTTTGGACACCCATCCGATGACCGGCCAATATTCCGTCATCCGATGACATGTGATTCATGCAAGTTGATATTGAAGTGAAAACTTCTTAAGCGGCGTTGTACACTTTTTTGTAATGGGTAAATACTGTTAAACTCGCGTCATGGCACGTGGCCTGATCGCATCCGGACCTGACAATCGAAGATTCGTAAGACGAAAACAATAAAATTGGAAAGGTTGTTGACTTTCAATATATTGGACGAATCATAGTTATATTTTATTTTATCGTATTATAATAATAAGTCTGTATCTAGGACGTCCAAGTGGCAGCTTTATTGCGAAGAAAATGCATTTTTTTACAATAGATGTCGCTAGGTGCGCTTAAATGAATAGTTCCGAGAGATAAACTTTTTAATGTAATATAAATTGTCATGTTTGTGTACGATGATAGCGCAATAAATAAATATTGTATTCTACCACGCAAATGCTAGTACTTTTATACTGATAATTAAAGAAATTCTTGCAAAATTATTCCCTAACCATTCCAAAATATAAAAAATGCACAACGTTATGTTGAGTGCAACCCGTCGTTTTTTTAGGGTTCCGTACCTAAAAAGGAAAAAACGGAACCCTTATAGGATCACTTTGTTGTCCGTCTGTCCGTCCGTCCGTCTGTCAAGACCGTTTTTCTCAGGAACACGTAGAGGTATCAAACTGAAATTCATATATAATACTCAGGAGTACTGTCCCTTGGAGCTGCGAAAAAATCAAACTTCTAAGCCAAAGCAATCAAAAGATACAGCCGTTTATGTCGCAAATTTTCGAAACTCGCACGGGAATCAAAACCTACAGGGTACTTCCCGTGAACTTAGAATCTTGAAATTTGGTACGAAGTAACGTCTTATAGTACAGATAAAGGAAAAATTGCGAAAACCGTAAATTCTTAGTTACATCCTATAATATATTTTTTTTTAATAATTATTAAAATATACCTAGAGGTTTGTACGGAACCCTCGGTGCGCGAGTCCGACTCGCACTTGGCCGGTTTTTTTTTTATATAAGTACGAACGACTGCTTTTAATTATGTCGCCCTTAATAGAATACATATTTTTATTTACGCGCCAAAGCAAACATGTTTCATTTTTGTCTCTACAAGTCATAAAAAAGAAGGAAAAAATGATACACACTCGAATAAGTAATGAACAAGTGGGTATTCCAAGCAATTAACAAAGTCATTCTTTAGTGAGTGCGCGTGACTTTGGCTGTGTATAAAAATTGGCTTCACATACAAACTTCCAGCCCCATTTTCGCCTTCAAGGGTGATTCCTGTACCCTTAGTACGAGTTTTACAATTACGAAAACTATGATAGTTTTCCTGAGCTCGCACTCGTACTAAGGGTACTGTACCCCTAGCACGAACCAATATCGAATTCGAATAGTTTGTAAAATGAAATGTCAATGTATGGAAACTTGAACAGCAGCGGCACAAAGTACGTAACGAGAACTAAAAATCAGTACACATTTGACAGTGACATTTCGGACTTCCAAACGATACGAATTCGTTATGGATTCGTGCTAAGGGTACTGATTTTATTGTTTTCGTTTCAATACAAATAAACAGTGTTTAAATTATATCAATAAATCATTTGCGTCTTCTTAAATTTTAAGTATATTTGGTTACTTTTCACTTCACTTCACTTCCAGGGCCATTAGTATGTAGTAGTTTAATTTCGTCCATTGGGACAGGCGAAGGTACTAAGCCATACTGCCAAGTCTTACGTTCATAATTCTAGTTGTCATATATTATTATATAGGCTATGCCAAATCTGATATTTTGTTTTTGTTTAGAGGCAATAAGCCAAATCTTCAGTAAATTAGCCAGGGCCATTAGCTTCTTAAAGCTTAAACTTCATCGTTTGACATTTGAATGACAACTGGTTCCAGCAGTGGGGACATTAATAGGCTGATGATGATGATGACGATGAAAGGAATAAGTAAGCAAAGAAAACTATGATTTTTCAATTTCTCTTTATAGTTGATTTTTTATGAGTCCAAATATGAAAAATGTGCTAATGTGCCTCCTTCTCCCGTACGTGAGAATATCTACAGTAAAACAAAGATTTTAGACAATCAGTTGTGCTAATTATCATATTGCTTTGTCTTTTTTGTTTGTGTTACACATTTATTCAGTTTAATTTACATTATAAGTGTCAGGTTGTTGTTTTTGTTTTGTTTTTAATGGAAAAATGTTATGTAATACAATCTAATCCAAATCTCATATGTACTTTGCATTCGCATAAGAAAATTTATTGTCAAATGCGGGTAACTACCTGCTTTAAGTACATAATTTAGGGGGACATCTAATAGACCAATTTATCTGTTCTTTTTCGTTCCAGATGATCGTAATAATTATCTGGCCAAGATTTTTATAAGTCTGGTATGAAAAAAAAAACAAAAAACGGTATGGACATGGTAGGTGACGTCAGAAGCCGCAAAAACTGGCGGGCGTGTTTGAAAAAATTAGGTAATGAATGCGAATGAGGCGAAGCGAAAGATGTGTGTATGGATCGTGTCTTATGGAACTCTATTCTCCCTGCCTACGCCACAGACATAAATCTATATAGATACTACAAACATCTGCTGTTCTCACCGGGATTCGAACCCGGGACCTCTCGAGTCGGCGACACCATGAAACCCGAACGCATGTTTATGTACTTCACGTTCCAAAAGGTAGACCAATGGTCATTCCTTTATACAAATTTACTTTTTGAAGTTATACTTCTTTAGGCGCGTTATAAAAAAATGATGAGAGTGAAATTTTAAGATGCGCGCGCATCACTGTAACACAAAATATCAACTGTTACTTTTGTGTTTACCGCACATTAAGAAAATCTACCAACAACATAGTTATAGAATCTCTATTTAGTGGGTGCTAACGACTGCATTGTGAAGGCCTATCAAAAGTATTTATTAATCTGGAACAACGGAACCAAAGCGCGATTCAGGAGACTACAGCGCCATCTCTTGACCATTGGTGTAGTAGAACCAAAAACTAATTTTAAACGATGCCAAAGAAGGATAACTTCTCACGTGCCTACATAAGTACACGCACCCATTTTTTCTTCAAATACGTCGCCGTTCTCTACTCTGGACGTCAATCGTAACCTTAGATTAAAACAAAAAGGGATGACGCAGCTCAAAAGTGTACAGGTCACAATTTGACATCCAAAAACGCTACATATGCACTCAATATAAACAATATTGCGTACTATATTCTGTGTTATAAAGGTAAAATGTTGCCTTCGATGCTTTGAAAAGAACACAAATAGTTCAAGATGAAAGAACAAATACCATCGCAACACTTTTCATTCGTAAAACTAAATAAACATTTTTTCCCCAAAAATCAAGGTTTTTCATGAATGTTATTTAATAATAATAATAATAATTTTTATTCATGCCAAAAAAACATATAAGGTACAAAAATTTTACAGCTGTTAGATTTACTAGACAAAGAACTGGAATTTATTTTTAGTATATTTTTTAAATAAGGCAGTAGTCATAAAATGAAAACGTACAACTGACCCTAGATAGGCTATTAATATAGCCTGTGTTTAGGGATTCAGACCCTTCCAATAGGTTCCTTAAGGTTATTTACTGATTCGCCATTTGTTATCAAGAAAAGGACAACAATACAGTTCAGCCGTTTGTAGAGAGAGAAAAGGAAACGCAGTCGGTTGCCAAGCGACGCGGACTCGCCGTTTCGCTCGTGCTGCTTTGAAGCATACAGTACCCCAAGCACGAACCGATATCGAATTCGTATCGTTTGCGAGTCCGAAATGTCATTGTCAAATGTGTACTGATTTTTAGTTCTCTTTACGTACTTTGTGCCGCTGCTGTTCAAGTTTCCATACAAAATTTGACATTGACATTTCGGTTTACAAACTATTCGAATTCGATAATGGTAATCGAGTTATATCATTAACAAATTAGGAATAATGGTTCGTGCTAAGGGTACTGTACACATTTGACAATGACATTTCAGACTCGCAAACGACACGAATTCGATATTGGTTCGTGCTAGGGGTACAGTTTCTGGCTCGCTCGCTCGATTAAATGTTTATTTACCGAAGTGCGAAGTGTGCATGTTGCTTATATAGTTGAGTCTGGGCATATTTTATTTGATGCGAACATGAGCGTACCGTATCTTCCCTTTTT